ATGGTCTTATGAACGTGACAACAAGTGAACTCTGTTCATTTGTTATTTTGTGGTTAATGTTAGGTTGTTATTTTGTGGTTATTGTTAGGTGCCATCAAGTTGGTTCCAACTCATAATGACCCTATCTATGTACAAGAGACCAAACATTGCCTGGCCCAGCGCCATCTTCACCATTGTTGCTGTATTTGAGACCATTGCTGTAGCCCCTCTGTCAATCCATCTTGTCAAGGGTCTTCCTCTTTTTGTTTGCCCTCTACTTTTTCCTGAAACTGGTCTCTCCTGAGAACATGCCCAACATACATGAGACAAAGTTCTGCCATCCTCAATTCTTGGGAGCGTTCTGACTGTACTTCTTCCCAGACACACATGTTTCCCTTTTGGCAGTCTGTGGTATTTTCAGTATCCTTCATTTCTATCACCAAGACCTTATTTTCAAACTCCTTTTCCTTCCGCTTGGTTTTCAACTTTGGGATTCCAATAACCAATAATTATCAATACATCTTGATTGCATATTTGATAAATCTCAGACTGAAGACATAAGTAAACTATTTCAATTTCTTCATCACTAGCTTTAGTGGTTGGTGCATAAGTTTGACTAATAGTTGTTTTAATTGAGTTTCCTTGTATTCAGATAGATATTATCCTAACACAGACAGCGTTGTGCTTAAAGATTGATCTTGAAATGTCATTTTTGACGATGACTACCCCATTCCTCTTGAATTTGTCATTCCTGCCAGAATAAACCATATGAGTGTCTGATTCAAAATGGCCAATACTTAAAAAAAAAAAAAAAAGGCCAATACCAGTACATTTCAGCTCACTAACACCTAGGATCTCAATCTTTATAAACCCCATTGCATTTGACAACTTCCAATTTTCCTAGGTTCATCCTTTGTACGTTCCAACTTCCAATTATTAATAGATGTTTGCAGATTTTCCCTTTCATTTTGAGTTGTGCCCCATCAGCAAATGACGAGCTCTAAGACTTTACTCCAGTCACGTCATAATGATCAGCAATAATGCGAGAAGGCATAGTCATGTTTTTAGTGCCCTTTGACCTAAGGGGCTTATCTTCTGGCACCATCTCTAACAATGTCTTAAGTATATGACAACATTCCACTGATACATAGTGGCTAAATCCTCAAAAGTCACCAGTTGATTTTTTCTTCATCTGGAAATTCTGCTGAAACCTATTCACTTTGGGTATCCCTATTGGTATTGGCAATCCCAGTGAAATCCCAGCATCACTGCAACACACAGCCACCTCAGTATGACAAACTGACAGACAAGTGGTGGCATTCTGTTATATGGATTTCGACTCCAATACTTTCTTGAGCAAGGGGCACATTTTTTTAAAAA